TGTAATATATAAATTTAAAGTATTTAAAGCACAGCATCGCGTCTGACAATTGGTGAAATGATATCTGTCAGAAAGAAGCAGATCTCTACCGCCATGGTAAAGAAATGAATATCAACGATGCGCACTTCTTGCGCCAGCATTTTAAATAACTTTGCCCTCGCGTTGACTCTCTCTCAATATGGATGCGCGACGATGCTATCTTGACTGTTTCATTATTCTGCAGCAACGTAAATTGATCGTCTCTTTTAAGCATCGGCGGCATACTATACGCACATCCCTCGGGCAGCAAGTCTTCAAATGGAAGCCTTTATCCCCCGTGGCCGAAGAACCAACCCACATCTGGTCGTACAGAGCTTCCTTGCATATCTCGGATATCTCACGGTCACTAAGTCTTCGACGAACACACAGTGTCCAGCGGCAGACATCCCCACCAGCATTTTCATGGTGTTATGGTGTTTGTACATACTGAATGTAGTCGATCGAAAGCCCAGATTAGATGGCGTTTGTATAATGAATTCTGCAATGGAAGAGAAGAGATATAAACATCTGATCCGTACATCCATAAATTATACTTGTATGATATTACATTGTCGATGAACATGCATCAAGCACATTGCAATAAACTGAGATATATATCGACATACCCGTGCAATCGATTATCATGGACGTGGTTGGGTATTTTTCATCAAAACATGGTAGTCGCAGCTTGCCCACAATCTTTTTGTGAAAAGATTCATGGGTGTATTTGCGGGATGACGAAAGTAGCCCAGCAACACGGCATTCATATCATTCAATATATTTGATACCGTCTGTGTACAACGCAATCCGAATAAATGTCCGACGACGCCTAAATCAAGATTATGCCGTACGCTCGCGAGCCACATAACGACAGCGTTCCTTAAGGTGATATAATTGCGACCTGGGCGAAATGCTTCACCGTACTCTTCAATTGCATCTATGAATGCAAGGAATTTCCTTGTAGACTGGAAACCAGTCCAGAAGCGAGTCTTCTCCTTATCATCGTATATATATTCATATGACCGCCTAAATACACGAGTCTCCTTGAACGTCTTTGCCATGTTATCAAACCTGTACTGTTTCTCGTTGAGGCGCATCTGCAAACGATCAATATCTCTTGTGTTTTAGGGTTTTTAGGGTTCTTTGTTTAGATCACATAGTTGGCCAGCAGCATTCGATAATGCTGCTGCCTGTGCTTCTATTTGCAAGTCTTTAGAAGTAGCCTTTGTGTGTCTCTTGGTACTCGTTTTATTTTTAGCGGTATTTGTGGTATGTAATTTTTTAGTAGCATAGCTACTCGTGCTTTCCTGGAGACGTTTACTTGAACGTAATATAGGACGACTACTATCCTCCACTATATCCATCTGCATCATCTCACTGACTAAGCGTTGCTGTTGAAGGCTCTCACTTACAAAACGCTGTTGCGCAAGTTGGGCTCTATACTCAGTTTCGGTCATAGGCACTGCATCTGTTGTCATCTTTACGCACTTCTTGGTATGTCGTATGTACTTCACATTGAAGTGCTGGGTTCAAAGCTTTTGGCCATGCAAAGCTTTGATCAATGTATCGATCTGTCCTTTATCATGATGATCTTTCAGCCGTCCTACTTTGCGCATCCATTTGATAAATACACCACGATCCGAGGTTGGTACCTAGCGACCAGGATTCTCTCCGGTGATATTATCCTTGCAATAATCTGCTGCGCAATAAACCATTTTAACCTCTCTAAATGTGAATTAAACATCTAGAGCGCGCTTTTATAAATCTTTTAAACTCATATAATACTCGGCGTGGCCTTCTACGAGCGATAGTGCATTCTATGCTATATTCCTGTCAGATGTGCGCATGGCGTGAATGCAATTTTCGGAATGCTACGATCGCCACTTTTATTTAACCTGAGCTCAAGTGCACCTACGTACGTGATGTACTTCCCTTACTTTATGCCAATCGGACTAGTATCTACTGAGATATTTAGCTGTGAACAACGTGTTTACAGCACACAAACGTGTGTTTATTTTCGCGTGTCGCACCAATTTGCTGCCACAGGGGTGCTTGTCCCCACCTTTCAAAACATGGTCTCAAAATATAACTTTTTTATAGGTCGATTGTCACTGTAAGAGAGTAAAGAGAAATCTGAGCACAAATGAATACACAGGATACATAAGGGATGGTTTAAAGGAGGTTGAAAAACACGCCATCATAGGTGTTGATGTTATGACCAGTTTCTCCGCACTTCGAGCTCATTATCATTCTCACGAGTATTAGATCCTACGGTAAATTCTGAACATATCGAGAAGACTGTAGAGAATAAGAAGTTCGTCGAGGATATAGGCAAGTTGCCAGCTACGAACCGACTAGATCGAAAAGACAAACAGGATCTTAACGACATGAGTAGTTTGGCAAGTTTATCTAGAACTTTAATGATTGGTCAGATCGTGCTTACAGCAAACCTTCGTAAGAATATTTGGTTCGAAGCAGCACAGCAAAGTTTTAAGCCGTCCTCTAATACGTAAAAAAAGTTGGACACCAAAAAAGCTACTGTGGCACAGTTCAAGACGTGAAAAGAGCAAAGCAAACTGGTCATCCAGGTATTTTTTTTTAAACCCCAATATCCCGATTCCGCCGAATTAAGAAAGGCCAGTATCTCACTACCTATTGAAATTTGTTACATAGTTATTGCGTGCTCAAACTGTGGGCATCTCCGAGGAAAGTTTGAACAGGTGTGTGCGATGGGTACAGACAATGGTCGAGGATACTGACGTTTACCACGCCCTGGGGCGGATTTTCATATGTCGAACTGCCTTTCGGACACTGGGAAGCCTCCTGGCGGTTTCAGGAGGCCCTGCCGGAGGTGTCGAATGCCTTGCACCATGTTATATGGTACATAGATGATATAGTGATTGCGTCGAACAGCTCAGCGGAGCATTGTGATAATCTGACGGCGGTGTTGAGGAGATGCCAGCGCTATGAGATTCACTTAAGAATGAAGAAGCGTCAGATCGCTTATTTCAGGCAGCCCGTGACTATATTGGGCCGCAGGGTGAACTTCAATGGGGTGACTATCACGGATGGGAGTCTGGGGGCACTTGTTTCGTTACCCTATTCGACGAATATTGACTTAGTCAAATCATGGTATCACACGGTAGCGTACTGGAAGAAGTACGTGACGGGATTCACCAATATGTTGGCGCGATTGCCAAGGTAATAAAAAAGGATGTGACTTTCCGCTGAAATGATGAGCACCTGGTGGCGTTCGACACTTTCAATTTGTTGCTAGCGCACCGGACAGAACAAGCAGAGCTCAAGGCAGCAGAGCAACTGGTCTTATACTTTGATGAATTTGAGTATATTGGCGTTGGAGCAGCTTGTACGTTAGACGAAATAAGGAGCTACTGGAACGGCAGATATGTTCTCGCGGCTGGCGTATGTGGTAGACTATGAGATACAACTGGCGAGGACACCGTTGAAGAAGTCGGTGAAGGGGGCTCACTGGGTCATCCCGCTTGTGAGTGATGCAGGTACAATGGCGTACATATTGACATAGGAATGGTTCCAGTTTGCAGACCTGAGGTTTGGTCCGCACGATGCGGATATATTTGCGTGTAGTGGCAACCAGTAGATGATAACATTTTACCGTTCGTCAGCGGATGGTGGCGTGTTTGCCAACTCGGGGGCTCTCCTCAACCTCTGGTTGAATCCGCCATGGCAGTAAATGGAGAGAGTGCTACTTAAGATAGCGGCAGATCATGTGCGGGCGGATGGGGGGAGGGGGTGGTGGTGATTAAAAGTTCTTGCCCTTACATGCCGCATGCGCAGTGGTTTGGGGCGATTACTCCATTCTTACTGGCGAGGTCGTTAGGCTGGAATCAGTAGGTCCGCCTAGCTGAGGTGCAACACTTATCCAGCGGTCGGGTTATAGGGCGCAGCCGTACGTTGTGCCAGATGGTTTCTGAAAAGCGGTGGATGCGGTTTCGCGCAGGTGTTAGCCCCCCCTTCAAGAGGCGTGACAGCAACAAGAGCCGCAGTTATTCCGCCAAGGTGCGGAGTGTAAACTTCGATGGAAATTACTAGGCTTCAAACTATATTAAACTAAAAT